TAACTCATGAGAGCTTGCCCAGACATAAGTACTAGAAGCCTGGAGCCAAGATGGTAATGCTAATGTAAGAATGCAGGTGTGGGTGGCTGGCTGAATGGAGTAGTGGTTGGATTCGTGCCCTCTGCCATGGTGGCTCAGGTGTTTGGATCCCTGACACTGACATAACACCTGTCAAGCCACACTGTGGCAGTGTCCCGCATAAAATAGAGGAAGATTGGCACAGACATTAGCTCAGTGACAATCTTCCTCGATCAAAAAGAGGAAGATTGGCAACAGATGTTAGCTCAGGGCCAATCTTCCTCAGAAAAAAAAAAAGAAGAATGGAGGTGGGTCCTGAGACCATTACAAATCGTGAAAGCTAGATTTGAGCCCCTACGTGAAGGCCAGTGCCTTCAGGAATTTCTTTTCACCCCAAATTAAAGGGAATTAAGAAGTAATGTTCCCTGCGATGCCAAAGAAATGAAGGTACTTTCTGCCTTTCTGTGGTCATGGATGGTAATGAGGTCACCCCTCAGGAGCTGAAACTTCAGGCTGTGCCACATGCAGATATGTGGTCTTAAACCACCTTCTTCTTGGTTTAACTTAAAGCTGATATATTAAAATAGAAAATGTCTCTGTACATTGAATCCTCTGGGACTCTGGAAATTGCAAAACACAAAACCATCATGTCAGGATGGTTACAATGAATGGATCTCAGAAATATCACAGTTAAATTCTACAGAATAAAGTAACCACAGCTAGTGATCAGCACAAATTGAGAAAAAAATTCCAAAGTGCGTTCATAAATGAACCACCATGAATGGAGAGCTCGCCTACACAACCAAATGCAAAACATACCTGCTGGGAATAATAGAACAACCTAAAATAGACTTTAAATAAGTATGATTAAAATTATTAAATATATAAAGGTAAAAATGTTAATAATGAATAAAAGAAGAGTGTGAAAGCAAAGGATCTTAAAAGTAACCAAATGCAGTCATGCATTGCTTAACAACAGTGATACGTCGTCAGACGATTTCGTCCTTGTGCGAACATCACAGAGCGTACTTACACAAACCGACATGCTATAACCTACTATATTCCTAGGCTATCTGGGATAGCCTACTGCTTCTAGGCTGCAAACCTGTAGAGCATGTTACTGTACTGACTACTGTAGGCAATTATAACACAATGGTAAGTATTTTTGTATCTAAACAGACAAAGTACAGTAAAAATACAGTATAAAAGATAAAAAATGGCACATCTGTAAAGCGTACTTGCCATGAATGGAGCTTGCAGGAATGGAAGTTGCTCTGGTGAGTCAGTGAGTGAGTGGTGAGTGAATGTGAAGGCCTGGCACATTTCGGTACACTACTGTAGACGTTATAAACTGCACAGTTAGGCTGCACTAAATTTATTTAAAAACTCTTTTCTTTCATCAATAATAAATTAACCTTACCTTATCGTAACTTTTTTACTTTATAAACTTTTTAGTTTTTTAACTGTGACTCTTTTGTAATAACACTTAGCTTAAAACACGAACACGTATAGCAGTACAAAAATATTTTCTTTTTTACATATTCTTTTATAGGCTTTTGTCAATGTTTAATTTTTTATTTTTATTTGCTTTTTAAATATTTTTGTTAAAAACTAAGACACAAACACACACGTAATCCTAGGCCTATGCAGGTTCAGTATCACCAATATCACTATCTTTCACCTTCACATCTTGTCCCATTAGAAGCTCTTCAGGGACAGTAATACGCATGAAGCTGTCATCTGCTAGGATGATGATGCTTCTTCTGGAAGCTGCCTGAGGCTCCTCTTGAATTGTCACTCTTTTCACAAATATGTCCATGATGGTTTGCTTGCTTTGTTTCTTTTTTCATCATAGATTTGACTGTAAGCAGATAATGCACCATGAAAATTCCTCTTTATTAATGAAAACCTTTTGATGTTGGGGTCCATATTTTCAAACTTTTTAAGGAGCTTGTTGAGGTTTGCAAAAGCTTCTGCTAAATCCTTCACTGTAAATTTTCTTGGGGGGTTCTTCTTTTTTTCTCCTGCAGTTTTCTTTTCTCTTGCTTCTTCTTCATCTATGCATTCCTGTTCTAGTTCCAACAACACCTCGTTTGTCAGTTCCTTGGGAAGCACTTCCAGGAGCTCTTCAATATCATCCTTACTATCACCCAAGTTAAAGTTGTTTTCCATCTCAACCACAGCCTTGCTGATTTTTCCAACCTCCTCATCTTTGGCAAATCCTTTGAAGTCATGGATGAATCTCTTGAGTGTCCTCTTTCAGATGCCATTCGTACATCTGAATGTCCTTGATAACATCACCCCAAGCCCAAGCAAGGTTCTTGATGCAGTCTTAGATGTAGTCCTTCCAACACTGCATAAGTGTCTTCTCAGTGTCTTTCTCAATTGCAGCAATAGCCTGAGTAGAGTTCTCCTCAGGTAGTAGGCCTTAAAAGCTGCTATAACTCCTTGATCCATTGGTTGTATCAAAGAGATGGTGTTTGGAGGGAAAAGCACCACTTTGATATTGGAATGAAGATCACCAATAAAAGGAGGATATCTGGGAGCATTATCAATAATAAGCAAAATCTCAAAAGGTATGTTATTCTCCAAACAGTACTTCTCCTTTTTACTAGCATAGAAATTCAGGAGGGCAACTTGGAAGAAGAGCTGGGTCATCTATGACTTCTCATTGCTCCTGTAGTACACTGGAAGTGTGCGCTTACTGATATGCTTGAAGGTCCTGGGATTCTAGCACTGCCAGATCACAAATGGTTTCAGTTCCTAGCCTGCAACATTGCCCCCAAGCAAGACTGACTGCTATCCTGTCCTTAAAAGCCTTGAAATCTGTCATTGACTTGGCCTCCTTACGGATGAAAGTCCTTTCAGGCATCTGTTTCCAGAATAGGGAGGTTTCCACTATATTGAATATTTGCTCCAGCAAGTAATTTTCCTCCACAACCAGCTTATCTAGAGTTTCCAAAAATTCTTCAGCTGCCTTTGCATCAGCACTCACAGACTCACCACTCATTTTCACATTATGTGATGAATAAAAATTCCTGAATCATTTAAACCACCCAGAGCTAGCAGTAAAATCAACATCATAGTCAGGTCCACCCTTTTCTTTCAACATCGCAAATAAACTTTTTGCTTTGGCCATGACCATCACGGTGCTGAGAATACACTTCTGTGTTTAGTCTTCAAAATCCACGTCATTAGAAATTTCTCCATGTCTGATTTAGACCCTTCTCAAAATTGTGTTAGTCTTGTTGCCTTCAATGATGCAGATCAATAACTTCTGTCAGTTTGTTCTTGTTCTTCAAGATCATAGCTATAGTTCAATGGGACGCAACTGACTGGTGAGCAATAACCATTACTGATTTTCCATCTTCATATTTCTTAATCAATTTTAATTTCATTTCCAGGTCAATCACCCTATATGACCTCTTAGTGGCAACATTAGCAGTGGATTTATACACTTAGGGGCCGTGATGAACAAAACAAACATGAGATAAGCACAAGAGAAAACGATTCAATCAAGAGACACAGAAAATGCAAGATGTATGAGGCTGCTGTCAGCATAACATGGCATAGTATTTTACAGTAAGCTTTTTTTATATAAGTGGAAAGAGTACACTCTAAAATAATGATGAAAATTATAGTATAGTAAATGCATAAACCAGTAACATAGACATTTATTATCATTATTAAGTTTTCTGTACTGTACATAATTGTATGTGCTATACTTTTATATTACTGGCAGTGCAGTAGGTTTGTTTACACCAGCAATGCATTGTGCTATACCATATTATGATAGCTAGGAGGTGACTAGATGATAGGAATTTTTCACCTCTATTATAATCTTACAGGACTACAACTGTATATGTGGTCCATCATTGACTAAAACATTGTTATGCAGTGCATGACTGTAAAGTGAAAAACATTACTAGTGAATCAATGGGCAGGGGGAGAGAGTATGAAAACCAGGCAGTAAGTGAAGTAATAATTGCTGAGAATTTTCCAAAATTAAGGAAAACAGAATTTTTATCATTAAAAAGCACACTGGGGGTAAATTAGAAAAATAAAGATAATTATAACCCAGAAATATTTTAGTAGTAGTGGAAGTAGTAGTAGCAATCATAGTATTACTGTCTAACATTTTTAAGCATTTTCTATCAGTCAAGAATTGTTCTAAGTTCTGTATACATTTGACTAATTTAATACCGGCAACAATTTATGAGGTAAGGCACTACTATTATCACCATTTACAGATCAAGGAACTGAGCCACAGAGATTTTAAGTAACTTGTCCAACATCAGGAAGTATGGTTACTATAAGGTAACTTGCAACATGTTGAAGACAGAGAAAACCTGTATATGCAAAAAGAAAAGAAAAATTCTTTACAAAATAATGAAAATTAGGTTGAAGGCAGATTTCCTATCAGAAAAATAGAAGACCAAGGACAATGAATAATATCTTAAAGTACTGAGATAAAAGAAATATCAAACTGGAAATCTACATGCTTTTCTATCTGATGAGGAAAATGAAATATTTTTGACTCTCGCTGAAAGAACTGTTAAGGATTTACCTCAGTAAAAAGGAAGTGTGAAGGACATGCAAGAAGCAATGGTGAGCAAAGACACGGCTAAATATGTTAAGTGTACATATGCATTGACTATTAAAAAAGACAATGATTAATTTTATTATGGAGAATTAGAGAAAGATCAGGTAAAATAAAACGATGGGAGAGTTAAATTACAATTAAAATTTTCTAAGGGCTTCTGTCCTTAAAGAACATAATGGAAATATTAATTTTAGTCTTTAGTGAAACAAATAGCTATGTTTAAAAATGTAAGCATGAATGTTAAAAGAACAGAAATTGAGTTTGTACTTTCAAGTTAGTAGTGATAAAAAAGGATAAAAGAAAATTTTGATCCATCCATCAGAAGCCAAGATATAAGGCTATATGCAGAAAAATATTTCATAAGAATTCAACACATTACTTGCTTCAGCAGCACATATACTAAAATTGCAATGATACAGAGAAAATTAGGATGGCCACAGTGCAAGGATGACATGCAAATTCATGAAACATTCCATATTTTTCTGATTGTGATCAAGAGCTGTATTCACCAGTTGGCTCAATATTATAAAACCACACAAGTCCTCCGCCCTGGAAATATAAGTCATCTGCAGCTTCTGCCTTGGTTTCCTAAATTCTTCCACCTACTCAAGCAATAAAATCACTGTTCAATGAGAAAAAAAATTCATAATAAAATTAACACAGTGAGGATATAGTGAAAGATGTGTAATCTAATAAGGAACATCTCTCACGAACATACAGTAAACATCACATTTAATGGTTAAATGTAAAAAATATTCTCTTTAAAGTCAAGGACATTAAAATCTGCCCTGTATCACCCATTCTGTTCCACATTGAATTATAGCTGTGGTGATCATCGTAAGACAAGATAAACATTACAGCACTAAGGATTGGAAGACAAGAAACAAAATGTCTATTATTTGCAGGTAATATGATTACCTAGAGAATCCAGTAACATCTACAACCCAATTATTATAATTAACAAAAAAGTTTAGCAAGTTTGTTATCAAAAATCCTGATGCAATAAGTGCAAACCTGGCCTAAGTAGTTGGCACTAACAGAATGACACTGGCAGACAGCCTGTCACAAATACTTCGTAATGAAATTCACAAAGCTTTTCAGAAAATCTATAAAGCATTTTGATGATTCCAGGCAGCCTGCTCAAAGGCAGGCTGTCTAGATTTGCCTCTTTTCTGGCTGACAGCTAATGTGCTTGTCAATAAAAAGAAGAGGAAGACTTAAGTGATCCCAGACCTTTATAATTCTGTTTCAGCATGCGTCCGCTGACAAAAGCGTAACGATTGTGTCCATCACATGTGAGTAAATTTGCATGTGAATAAAAAACTAAACGTCCCCTAAATTATTCTTTCCTCTGGCTATAAGCTAAATTTGCAAAATTGTATGCCTGCAAGAAACCATACAAAATGTAATTTTAAAACCATACCATCATTGCTAAAAATGTAGTAAATAGCCTAAATCTACTAAAGATCTTTACCAGAGAAAATTATGAAAGTTTATTAAAGTACATAAAGAAACAAATAATAGAGAGACAAACCATATTTGTGAAAGAGAAGTCTCAATAACAGAAAGATAGCCATATTATCCCGCATAATTTTTAAACTCAATGTAATTATAGCCAAAAACCTAACAAAGTTTCCATGGAACATTAAAAAGTTTATGCTAAAATAAATATGGATATCTATCTAAAGAGCCAAAAATAGCCAACATGCTAGAGGAAGAATAATAATCAGGAGGTAACTGCCCAACCAGACAACAAAGTCTTTTGAAAATCCATACTATTTAGAATAGTCTAATAATGACAGAGAGTAGACGAATATAGCTAGAAAAAGACCTTTGCATGTGTACCAACTTTGTACATTGCAGAGACTGTTACAAATCAGAAGGGGAACGTGATTATTAATAAATTAGGTGAGGAAAATCGGCTATCTATATGGAAAAAGTTTAACTTAGGTGCCTGCTCATATCAATGAATTTAATGACTTCTTATGACAAAGTAATTCCATTCTGGCATGTATATCTTTTGGAAAAATCTAAAAAGTCTTCAAATAGAAATGTGCACAATTATTACACAGTCATTGTACTTGTGAAAAGAGAGTTAGAAACTACCTAATCAACTCCCAGTTGGAAACTGGATAAATGCATTACGGTATATCCATACAGTGAAATTCACACACTGTGTTTTCATAGAACAAAGAAGAACAAATCAGATCTGTGTATATGAACACAGATAAATCTCAATAATATAATGCTGTTCACAAAGCAAGCTGCAAGACAAACAAAGCAAGCTGCAAAGATATGGATGTAGTATGTACACTTTGAAACATACAAAGTACTCCTATATTTATTGCAGACAACTACCTATGTAGTAAAATTATATAAACTTGGACAGAAAAGATACACACAAACTTCATAACAGTGGTTATTACCAAGAGATGAAAGGAACTCTGAGCTTATAAAAGAGGATTACAATAGTATCTGTATGTTTTAGTTCTATAAAAATCTATAAAGCAAATATAGAAAATTGTTAAATTTCTTAAATTTATGTACTGCACATTTATTACAGTACTTTTGAAACTTTATGAAATATTTTATAATTTTGGCAGATTTCAGAGGACAAATCAACTTTGAAAGGAACTGAGGATGCCAGAGTTTCCAAGAAATTTTCTAGCCTACTCCCTCACCTGAGGCTGCTGGTGATCTTGAAGGAGTGCCTTTAGAAGACCCATGCCAAAGAGCTCAACCTCCAGAGCTGAACACGGAAAAATCTCTCCTCTCTGCCCAGTGCATACTCTTCTCCATGTCCTGAAGACCTGATCCCTAGGACTAAATGCATTTTGGGGGCACAACAGTGAGAACTGGAGCCCATACAAGTTTCTCCCTCGTCTTAAGTGAGTCATGTACTTCTCTGGGCCTTCTATCATGAGAGTTTCCTCATGTGACTCCTGCTTCCCACTGCAAGATCTCTTAGGTATTTTTTTATACTGTTACCTACAGTTTTCAAATGAAACACAAGACCCTTTAAAAATCCTATCACCCACCTATAATTTATTTTTTAATTGAATTACTCATTCACCTATTTATCAAACACTTATTGAGTGTATTCTATGTGCCTGAACTGGGATAGGTAATATACATGTAGCAATGAACAACATTCATCAAGTCCAGGGGTCCTGCCGAGTTGTCTCCAATGGAGATCAATTTATCTAGCCTCCACCACCTGCCCCAGACCCAGGTCAGAACAATAGAAATAACATGGCTTGAAAGGTTATCTCAAGTCACTACTTGGCTATGTTTTCCCGAGACAAAATAAAGTTCTGGAATGATTGCTGGAAACATATTAACAAAGAAGTAATTATAATCAGTGCCATATTGGGGAGAAGTTAGAGGTCTATTGGCACATAAGTTAGGGCCAGCTAACCTACATTTAGGAAAATCTTTTAGGAGGAGGTGCCACCTAAAATTCGAACTAAAAGATGAAAAAAGTAAGAAGAAGAAATAGAATAGAGAATCAGACAGAATCAACAGATGAAAATTCCAGGAGTAAGAGAAACTATGGAAAGCATAAAAGTAGTTAAGTATGGCTGATGTTTACAAGAGAAGTTGGGAAGTCACAAATTGTAAGCCTGGGGAAGGAAAACATATAATACAGAAGGGGGAAGAGGATTAATGTTTGCCTGCTTGGACAAGAGGATTAATGTTTCATTTTGGATATGTTGTATTTCAGGTCTGACAGACACCCAAGTGTAGCTATTTAGTAGCTATGGGTGTGGAGATCCAGAAGTCCTGGGTACCTCTGTGAATAGCATCTAGTCACTTAGGATAGAAACCTGGTATAGTCCTGAACTCCTTCCACTTTTTCATCCCATCTTCAACATCCAAGCAATTATCAAGTCCTGATTATTCTCCCTCCTAAATGTCTCTTTAATACATCCATTACGCCCTATTTCCGTTGCTTATGCCATGATCTGAAGCACCGTCATTTCACACCTCGATTAAGCCAACAGCCATGTAAAGGTTTCCCTATTTCCCCTCATGCGTTCCACCCAATATATTCTCTACTCTCTGTTTTTTCTGAAACCTCTTGGGAAAGAATATTTTCTTTAAGAAAAAAAGGAAGAAGAACCCTCTCAAACAAGTTCTAGTTTTAAAGGTATTTAATTCAAATGTAAAATATTAAAAATATAAAAAATAATTGTATGACAATTTAAAAGATAAATTTAAAAGTAAAAGATAAAAAATTATTTCATGACAATTTTAGAAAACATAACTGGCCCTCACTCTTCTTTTGTGGGACCTCAAGGTCTTTTATCTCTGCTTCTCTGATATGTCTCCATAAAGAAGAACTGACTCTGCAAGGTCATTAGCTACTTTTATTACTTAACTTCAGCTTTTACATGGACTCAACTCTACTTCTAGTTCCTATGTACCTTGTTTGACTACAGTTTTATGTTTTGTTTAAATTCTCAAGAGAGAGGCTCTAAATGTTTCATCCCCGTATGGACCAGTTCTCCCAGGTCAGATATACACATTTTGTTCTATCAGTGATGGCTTCTGGAGTAGCAGGCACCTGCTAGAAATATGGCCACCTGGCTCACTACTTCCACAGGATCTGGGATAAATTGAAATAAGGGGTTGGGCTGCCCAGGTATTCAACGTTATTCCACTAAATATAAATCTAATCATGTTATTCCTCTGTTAAAAACACTCTAATGGATTCCCATTATCCTCAGAATAAGGACCAAGTTCTGTGTACCACAGCTTCAAGGCAATGCATTATCTACCCCATCTCCCACTCTCACTTCATTTCTTTTCTTTGATATTAATGAAATTTCTTTTTTTCTGAAATATATTTGACTGATAAGAGTTTCTACAGATAAGGTCATCCCCCCTTCTTCTTGGTACAGAGAGAGAGACACCTTTACAGATGGAGATTTTCTTTACAAATATAAATGTCTCTTAAGAAAGGGTAACTTCTACTTTTCAGAGTTTCTTTCATGTCTGCAGTTTTTAAAAGTAACCAGCCCAAAATAATCCTGATGCCAAAAAGAGATATCTTGGGGTGGCCAATTCCAATCCACCACATCATCTAAAAGAATGTGTATGCATTACATAAAACCTGGAAAATACACATACAAAAATGAAAAACAAAGAGGAAAACAAAAAAATAGAATCATACTGTGAATACTGCTTTGGGGAACACTTCAAAAATAAATTAGCAATAGATTGTAAACATTTAGACTACAGATCAAGTCAATGTGATCAGTTACCAAGGGGCACCTCATGCATCCAGTTAATAATGGAGAGTTTCTTAAAAACTTCTTGATATTCTCTAAAAATTTATTTTATATATATTTTTTCCTAGGGGTGCCTTGAAGAAGATATATTATGACACAATGAGTAATTGGTAAGCATTATGCCTTTTGAAGATTTCCCAGGTTGTGATTTGAACGTCTATGCTTTTTCTTTGGAGCAAAGCCTCACT